GGTGAGAGGGGGATTTGTTTAGACCAAGAGGGGGGGGGTTGGGGGGGGCCAAGATCCCCCATTGCACCCCAAGCCGGGGAAAAAAAGGGAAACTCCGTCTCCAAAAAAAAAAAAAAAAAAAATAGACTAGAAATGGAATCATATTATTTTAAGGCAAAAGAAACCTTAGAAGTCATGTAATCTAGCCTCCCAGAATTATAAAAATCAGTGCTATCTGCTTGAACACCTCCAGAGTTGAGAAGCTTTCTGTTAAGGTGGTGGTGCATTCAGGTTTTGGGACAACTTTTTCTCATGTTTTGCTTTTAAAGGTCACCAAGGAAGAAGGCTTGGCATTGGCCCGAGAATTCAGCTGTCCCTTTTTTGAGACCTCTGCTGCATACCGTTACTACATTGATGATGTTTTCCATGCCCTTGTACGGGAGATACGTAGGAAAGAAAAGGAAGCAGTACTGGCCATGGAGAAAAAATCTAAGCCCAAAAACAGTGTATGGAAGAGGCTAAAATCACCATTCCGGAAGAAGAAAGATTCAGTAACTTGAAGAGAAGATGTGAAGTGTTTATCTGTGAACTGCAGTGCTGTTTCAAAGCAGTCCAGTAACCTGCAGTAATGAGCATGGTGCTTGCTCTTTCTCCTGTTAGGACCCTTGTTTTAAAAATAACTGATAAGAGGGACACGCCTACTAGGAGTTTTTAATGATGTGGTATTTAAAGTATTGTCTGTTAAGTATGATTTATTAACCCAGTGGAGCACTGTCTGCTTTTAAATTGTCACATTAGAATTTGCTCTACCAATGTTTTAGGTTCTGTTGCGCTGATATTAATTAATGTAATTTGTTTATACCCAGGAGAATATGTTCATATACCATGTATGATTGACTAAGTTCACAAGGGAAGTTTTTTGCCCTGCACTCCATATTATCCTTCAATTTCAGTTTCCTGGGACTATCCCAGAGAAAGACCTCAGTCTCTTCCGTTCACACTATGCTTCCTAGAGACTGAAAAAAAATAATGTAGGGAAATCAGGGCTAATGAGATCAGTGCCAAATTTCAGCAGATACTGTGGGGCTGCCTCCTGTTGTAGACTGGAGGGTGAGATGTGGGAAAGTTGGGCTGTCTGTTTGCAGGAACTTAAAAAGGTAGGCTCAGAACAGTATTCTCAGTACAAGCTTGGCTTTTCTAAGAAGTGCACATTTTACCCAAATGCACTGGGATGAGTGAGAACAGTCAGAAGCATATAAAATGTGATGAAGGTTTCTCCTAGGAAGTTAATTTACTCCTCATTTCAGGGTTTTCTTTTTTTACCTGCAAAGATAGACATTTTGAGAATCATAACTGTATTACTAAACATGTTCAATCACAATTTGCAGTTGGGTCAGCCCTTACCTTGTACAGGTTAATTTTTTCCCCACAGGTACACACCCAACGTGTGTATATTAATTGCCTCCTCCTACTTTGTGTTCTGTAGAAGAGCTACAGTGAAAAGATGTTTTTTTCCGGCCCTTCATCGCTGGTTGTGTTTTCCATACAGAAGAGACACCAGGGGTTTGGGTAAAATTTTACCCAAAAAAGATTTTGTTAGAGCACCGAGTCTAGTGATTGATGTGGACAATCACTAGACTCAGTGCTCTAACAAAATCTCCTATTTCTGTTTAATGGGTCACTCTTAAAGCTTTAAAATTCACATAGGTGGCGTCTCATCTGAAGATTTCTTTACAAGGACTTTGCTAAGTTCACCTCAGGGTTATCTGAGCCTTGACCAAGTTTATCCTAAGGGAATACCACTTTGCTTCCTGTGCATAGTTGAGAAACTGTAGTCCTAGGAAGAAACAGCTTTAAATATTGGTAGTGAATTCTCTGTTTTAAGATCAGGACTGTTTTGATATCTGACCTTGTTATATGTGGAGAATGCAAAAGTGCTAAGAGTAATGTATCACATGTTGAATATTAAATGTCACTGAAGCAATGTTCGTGTCAACTAGAAACTAAGAAGATGACTTTGTGTAGCACCTCTTGATAAGCACGCAGCTCATCTTAATATTTTCCATTTTTATTAGAGGAAGTAGGAGAGAGTTGTGTTTTTCTTTACAAACTGATGATAAATGTTCTAGATTTAAAGAAAAGTGACTGTTGGAACCCTTTTGGCTCTGAGTAGTGGTCCCTTTTGAAGCTCCTGGAAACATTTTTGTTACCAAATAAATCATGCTTTATGGTACTCAAGCCATCCAAAAATGAAAGACCTAGAATTTGATTCTGTACAGGACAAAAATCTCACAGGAACTATAGCACTTTGGAAAAGCATCAAAAAGTAGAAAAGAAATACAGTGCAATTCTATTATGAGAATGTTTTACATTTAAACTGGTTTAGCGCCTTTTAAGTTTAATGCCATAGCTTATTACTAATGACCTAGGGAATTTTTATTAGCATTAAGCAATATATATATATGCATTTTACTAGACAGGAGGTTTCACTATTTTGCCCAGGCTGGTCTCAAACTCCTGGGCTCACGCAATCCTCCCAATATCCTGGGATTACAAGCATGAGCCACCACCTGGCCCAAGCAAGAAATTGACACTATATAAGAATTATAATAATAATAATTGTTATTATTTGAGATGGAGTCTCACTCTGTCACCCAGGCTGGAGTGCAGTGGCACAATCTCAGCTCACTGCAATCTCTGCCTCCCAGGTTCAAGTGATTCTCCTGCCTCAGCCTCCCGAGTAGCTGGGACTACCGGTGCCCGCCACCACGCCCAGCTAATTTTTGTATTTTTAGTAGAGACAGGGTTTCATCATATTGGCCAGGCCGGTCTCGAACTCCTGACATTGTGATCTGCCTGCCTCGGCCTCCCAACGTGTTGTGATTATAGGCATGAGCCACTGCCCCTGGCCAACACCATATAATTAAGGTTGTCAGGCAGTAGAGAATGTTGCCAGAAGGATAGAAGGGAATTTGGATTATATATAAGGAAAATAACAAATAGGTGTTTTTAAGACTACCACTGTCATATATTAAATCCTTGTATTAATTAGTCCATCCATTAGTACTGAAGAGTTCTATTGGAGGTGCCAGTTAGACAGGTATAATGTGCATAAGTCATAGCTCTATTCTTAGTGTCATAAAGTGTAGCTAATTTATAAGCTCTAAGTAATCAGCTTTATCCAATTTGAGGGCATTAAAATTACTGCCTAGAACTTTGAAAAGAAAAATTCAGGGATAAGTTGAAAGGCACTGGAACTGTTCATGTCCATACCAGACCAGGAAATTATAAGATCCAGATGTTAGTGTCTAGAATTAGCTGTTTAGAATTCACAGGGGACATATGTTTCAACTTTGTCATATATAAGCAAAAATTGGTCTACTGTGATGTTCGGGGAGGAGGAAGAGGGAAAAAGTTTTTTAATGCACTTGTATGTGAAGACAGTTTGTATGACATAATACAAAACTTTTAAACAATTTGGGCTTTCCTTTACTTACCTATCAGTGGGTACAATTTTTGGAATCATTGCAAAAGGGTTAAGAAAAACATACCATGGCCGGGCGCGGTGGCTCACGCCTGTAATCCCAGCACTTTGGGAGGCCGAGGCGGGTGGATCACAAGGTCAAGAGATCGAGACCATCCTGGGCAACATGGTGAAACCCCATCTCTACTAAAAATACAAAAAATTAGCTGGGCATGGTGGTGCGTGCCTGTAATCCCAGCTACTCGGGAGGCTGAGGCAGGAGAATTGCCTGAACCCAGGAGGCGGAGGTTGTGGTGAGCCGAGATCGCGCCATTGCACTCCAGCCTGGGTAACAAGAGCGAAACTCTTTCTCAAAAAAGAAAAAAAAAAAAAAAAAAAAAAAAACATACCATGAGATGTTACATTCTGGAAAATACAAATTCAAAAAATTTGAGCCCACCATGTACAAGACACCTATGTCAAGTGCTAGAGAGCATGCCATGGAATCCTCCTTCATTTGAAGAGATCACCTCTTAGGAGCAGACAGGAAAAGCACATATGGAAAATGACAGCGCATTTGCTACCTGACAAGGGTTACTTAAAGTTGTTATAAGTAAATATGCTAAATGAGAATTGGAAGAGTGATAATTTTTTACATGAAGGTCATTTTATCTCCATTAGTCTAAATGGTCACCAGTGTTGGTAGAGAGGATGTAGTTTGGACATTAAACAAATGTTTTTTTTTTTTGTTTTGAGACGGAGTCTTACTCTGTGGCACAGGCTGCAGTGCAGTGGCATGATCTGGGCTCACTGCAGCCCCTGCTCCCTGGGTTCAAGTGATTCACCTCAGCCTCCTGAGTAGCTGGGATTATAGGTACGAACCACCATGAGCAGGTAAGTTTTGTATTTTTTTGTTTTTTTGTTTTGTTTTTTGGAGATGTTTCACCTTGTTGGTCAGTGTGGTTTCAAACTCCTGACCTCAGATGATCCACCCACCTTGGCCTCCCAAAGGGCTGGAATTACAGGCATGAGCCACCGTGCCCCACCAATTTTTGTATTTTTAGTAGAGACAGGGTTTCACCAATTTGGCCAGCCTGGTCTTGAACTCCTGACCTTAAGTGATCAACCACCTCAGCCTCCCAAAGTGCTGGGATTATAAGTGTGAGACTGCACCCGGCCTGTTTTGGCTTATAAAAGACAATCTCCTTCTGTCTGTTAGGCTGGAGTACAGTGGTGTGATCATGGCTCACTGTAACCTTAAACTCCTGAGTTTAAGGTGATCCTCCTGCCTCAGCCTCTTCAGTAGCTGGGACTACAGGCACGTGCCACCACTCCATGCTAGATTTTTACATTTTTTTGTAGAGGCGGGTCTTGAACTCCTGGCCTCCAGTAATCCTCCTGCCTCAGCCTTCCAAAGTGCTAGGATTACAGGCTTGAGCCACCTCACCTGGCCCAGGAGTGGATTTTTTTGTCCTCATTATTTAACTTTTATTTTTTCAAAACAG